GGTGCTGGAGTCGGCCGGACCACCGACAGGAGACGGGGTGCTGGAGTCGGCCGGACCACCGACAGGACACGAGGTGCTGGAGTCGGCCGGACCACCGACAGGACACGAGGTGCTGGAGTCGGCCGGACCACCGACAGGACACGGGGGGCTGGCGTCGGCCGGGGAGCCAGTACTGGAGCCGAAACTGAAGCCGGAACCATGGCTGCTGGGGCCGGAACTGGGGCCGGAACCATGGCTGCTGGGGCCGGAACTGGGGCCGGAACCATGGCTGCTGGGGCCGGAACTGGGGCCGGAACCATGGCTGCTGGGGCCGGAACTGGGGCCGGAACCATGGCTGCTGGGGCCAGAACTGGGGCTGGAACCATGGCTGCTGGGGCCAGAACTGGGGCCGGAACCATGGCTGTGTGGGCCGGTACTGGAGCAGGCACCCTGGCTGCTGGGCACGGAACCGGAACACGGAACCATGGCTGTGTGGGATGGTACTGGAGCACGGTACCATGACTGTGTGGGGCTGTACTGGTGCACGGAACCATGACTGTGTGGGCCGGTACTGGAGCAGGCACCCTGGCTGCTGGGCATGGAACAGAAGCCTGGAACCTGACTGTGTGAGCCAGGTAATCGAACACGGAAGCATGGCTGTGTGGGCGAGTACTGGTGCACGGATCCATGGCTGTGTGGGCCGGTACTGGATTATGAGCTGGCTTCCTGACCTTGCGTTTCTTTGAGGTCTTTTGGAGGCTCCGTGGACCTCCAAACGCCAGACGGGATCCCAAAAAAGGGTCAGAGAATGGAGACTGGCACTCGGGGCTACGTGCAAAAACTCTGAGCCATTCAGGCAACGAGCTCCTCAGCCATGGCATGTCAGACACCGCCATCTGTGCCTTCTTGAGGATAGCCTCTTTGTCCTTTCTTGACGAGGTTCCACTCCACTCGACATAGTAACATTGAAGGGTAAAGTCTAGATCGAACAGATCTACCTTAAAGTCTTCAAAATCCGCTGGGTCCATATTTGGTCGGTTCATTCTGTAAGGAATGCGTGAAAGGGTAGGACCCAAATGCAGACTATCAGAAAAGGTAAACGGTCTCGAAACAAAAACGAGCTTTATTCTTAAAGCTTATCAATAGCATGGCATGAAATACATAGGTTCTACAGAAAACTGACCGTGACCAACATGGTGGGAGACAGGAGAAACAAACAATGAACCGACAGGGGAACACAGGAAGAGACAAGACTAAATACAGAGAGGGGTAATCACAAGACGAGACACAGCTGGGGTAAGGGAGGCAGAAACACAAGGGCAACAGGTGAACACAATCAAACAATCAGACACACCAGGGAAACTAAGACAGGAAGGCAAACACAGGAAGAAGGAACAGAGAAGACACGAGGAAAACATTTCAAAACAAAACAGGAAACCAGAAAAAGACAAGACAAAACACAACACAGACAGATCGTGACACTTATTCCGTGAGTTTGATAGCATATTTATTGCCCGAGGGGCAGTGGCGACTGGTCATTAGGGGCAGGTGGGGCACAGCCCCACCTAGTGTCAGCAGAAAGTATTACAAATAATGATTACAAAAATGCAAAAAAAAAAATAAAAAAATATATAAAATATATTTTAAGATCATGTTTAATCATCTGATTCGTCTGTACATTGCTGTTTTAGTCTGTGTTCTTCTAATTAGTGTGTCTACAGTCACAGTGTGTGCCTATTGAGCTGTTTAGAGCCATGTGGGACAAAACCTGATTATGCCCCTTCCTCTCGCTGTGAAGTGAACGGTGACTGTAAAAACTACACTGCGCATGCTCAGAGTATTTTCTAATGTAATGTGTGTGGCAAAAAAATAATGACCAGAGGGGCACGGAGCTACCATCCCCACCATACGTCATCTCAAATCATTCAGAGCTGATTGGCTGTAAGCACGTGTGCCGCGAAAAGTGTGCTGTGTGAAGAGGAGACGAGAGAGCTGCAGTGGCGCGTCCTAAAACCAGGAAGTAAGCACAAAAAAGCAATGAGATTTCTCCAGAGGATTTTAGAAAATAGCTCAAAATAAGATCTGTGGGAAACGTACCTGTTAGATAAATGCACGTTTTGATTAGCCGGATAACATCCACATGTCTACCCTACTTTTATAATTTTTTTATCATAAATCTATGGATTAGATTTATGATAGACTTTTGAAACTACAAGAACATAAGGAGGACTTTTACAAAAAAGTAATAGAAATGTTTGTCCAGAAGGATAGGCAAATGGACTTCATCTTCAAGTCAAGGTAAGACCGCCATTTTATTGAAAATGGGATCTTACTAAGAGAGAACAATTCAATATTTAAATGATAAAATTACATTTTTTGGGTATCCTTTTGTTGAACTGTCTGTTTAAAATTAATCGAAGCATCAGACAAAAAAAGCTTTTGAAAATAATATTATATTTTGGTTTAGGTCAAAATATAATATTTGTAAACCTGAAGAGTCAGTGCCAGTGCCTCACCAGCCATGAACCTCACTGCACGTCACTGCAGAAGCTTATATATAGACATCTAAGTTTTTTGTGCCCCACCACTTTTGTACATATAAAAACGCCACTGCCGAGGGGTAATGTACATTTTGGAGATTAGACCCCATCATACTGTGTGGATTTAGGGGGAGGAGAAGCCGACCAGGAAAAGAGAAACACCCCCCCCCCCCGGGGTCTAGACACTGGTGGTGGTGAAGTGCTGAAGGGGAATTCAGATCCTTAATGATGAGGGTTCTTCTGGGCTGGCCTGGCCCGGGATCTGATTAAACTGGAGGTGAAGGAGGTGGAGGTGGGTTGCATCAATTCTCTGAATGATGCTGGCAAGGGAGAGAGGAGCAGATTTAAACGTTTGCCGGGTAAGTAAGTAAGTAAGATCCTGGGTGTGCTGTGATTGCTTGTGGGGGATGAGACGGGACTGATTGGTCTACTGGGGGTATGACGCGCCCTTGCTTATTGAAGGAAGGGCGAGTGAGTGAGAGAGAATTTTGAATGAGAGCGTGGGAACCAGTCTCCCTGTAAGAACTTGTGCTGAGCTTCATTTCATTTCTTTTTTACAGAACTGAGTACTTTTTTCCCCATCCGCGTACAAAACTTAAGGGAAGGCAAGGCAAGTGTATTTATAGGCAATTTAAAGTAAAAAAAATGAAAGACATTAAGAGCATTAAGAAACATATTATAAAATGGCATTTAAAAACACTCATTTAAAAGCAAAGATAATAAAACATGAATAACAAAGGCACATGAATTAAAGTTACAGCAGAGTGAGATACACAGAAATAGTTTTCTTTGACCTCACTTTCTTGAAGTGTTTCATGCTAAACGAACCCCCCTTTGGAAAATTCTAATCTGCAACCCAATATTCCGGAAAATTCAACGGATCCTGGCCATATTTGTGTAGCATGTCAAATGAATTTGCTCCCAGACATTCATGTCTTTTGACTTTCTGTTTGATAGGAGCGTCAACGTGTCTCACCTCCACCCTATTTCCTGACAGGTGTGAGACAGTCCTCCCTACAGCCTCATCAGACAGACGTACATCACGGTGTTCCTACTAACAAACACCAGATAGCTGTGGCACCTACATGAGAACAAGTGTGGAGGACAGTCTAACTTGAACTTATATAAAGCATCACTTTGACTATCAGTCTTAAGAAAAAGCTCAAAACACATTTGTACAAATTCACCTTTTTAGAAGCTAGCTGTTGCACTTTCTCAATGCACTTCATCTTAAACTGTCGCCTGATTTTGTGCAATTATTATTATCCCATCGCTGTCATTACTATTATGTGTAATCACAGGGTGAACTTGCACTATCTTCCCTTTAATGAACTATTCTATTGTTGTTTTCTTTATGTATTTGTTGAATGTCTACTGTTTTTATATTTATTTGTATGTCTTTTACTGGTAACTGTATTCTATGTGATATCAATTCTTCTGTGACTTTTTTAAGAGATGTCAACTGTCTACTGTGAAGCCCCTAGGACTGCGATTCTTGTATGAAAGGTGCAATGTTATTTATTTACTTTAATTTCGTTTAATTTATTTTTGTTATTTAATTTTTTTTTTTTTTTCATTTTATCTTTAATTAATTTTATTTTATTTTATGCAAGTTCATCGAAGTTAAGGAAAGAGCAGTTGGTGCAATCAAAATATATGATCAATAGCATGAACCACATAAATAACATGGACCTCTTCTGCGTCAAAACCGTTCACCTTTCCTTTGTTATTTTAAAATATGCCTTTGCAAAAGACATCACCTTGGTCTTATTGGAATGTCATGGTCAGTTTAGTGTATACGCTTTTCATTTTCACAGCCATTATATCGACAAAAGCGCCATGCGACAATTCACCCAGAGAAATGGGAACACGCTTTTGAATTGGAGAGAAAGCACCAGTGTGCAAAGTGTGAAAGCAATAATATGAGATGAGGATTGGAAGGTCTTCAGGTATATTCTAAAGAAGGTTACTCATCGTCTCCCCTCTCCTCCCACCCAAGGTCCCAATAATTACTGAGGGAAAGAACAATTGCATACAGACAAAAAGAAAGGGAAAAAGAATATCTAAAAGTAGTTTTTTCTGTAAATATATTATCATACTTGTTGTATAATATGCTATAAAATAGTCATTGTATATTATGATATCAAAAAGTCATAGTAGAGTATTTCTTAAAAATGTCACAGTATATTATGTCATGAAGAAAGTCAAAATATGCCGTAAAAAAGTCATAGTATAGTATTTCATAAAATAGTTATAGTATGGTATGTAATGAAAAAGTTGTATGGTATGTACTGTAATGAAAACTCACAGTATCATAAAATAGTCACAATATAGTGTGTTATAAAATAGTCATAGTGTAGTGTGTTATAAAAGATCCTCTATCTATCCATCTATCTTCACCACTCGCTATCAAACACACCTTTTATTTCCAAGCAGGAGATTTGTGAGGGAAAACAAACAGAAGTCACTTCAGGAAACACATTTTCACTTCAATGTTTTTATTTATCGCGCAACATGAAACAATATTGTGGGGTTTTTACCACATACACTATGTATTCACATAATACACCATACAGCTACAAAGAGAGAGAGACTGAACAAAAACACTTTTTTTTTTTACATACTGCATCCTTGACATGAAAAATAAAGAACCAAGAACAATCCTAAAACTCAGAAAGGAATGTAGCTGCCGTTGTGTAGGTTCATCTTTTTTTATCGTACGGGGCCAGAGTCCAAGTCTCAAAATTCAGAGAGTTCAACAATTAAATTACGTGTCCTTTAAAAGTGGGCCATACACAGTGAGATGTAAATCTGTGTGTGTGTGTGTGTGTGTGTGTGTGAATGTGTGAGACAAAATATACAAGGTGTGAGGAATAAAAAGAGGGGGTGAGTAGAGGAAGTGCATGAACAGGGAGAGGAAGGGAGGTTCTTGTTTTGATCAAAACATCTTCAGTTAGTACAACATTTCAAGAGCCTTTGGTTCTTGCGCTGCACCAAGCCCGGATAACAGTCTTCATTATGATTCTAAATCTTACCCTAGTTTTAATGACTTCAAGTACAATATGCAATGAATATTAATCAGAGAATATGAGCTGTTTGAGCGCCCCCCCCTGGCCTCACAAAGAGATGTACATTTGTAGCATCGTAACAAAAGACTTTTCACAAAGTCAGCACCGGGGCAGCTTCCCCTCATGTGAAACTGCTTGAATCAAAAGTATACTTCTCCTGACATTTGAAGAGCTCAGAAAAATATTTGTGGTATCATTTTTCCCCTTGCAATTTTTTGAACACAGTGAATTTCAAGGTGTAGCTTCATAGCACCAGCTTACCAACCCCCAAATCTCAGAACCATAGAAATGTACAAAGTTATTAAGATATCACATACACTGTATCCTCAGCACCAATCGTTAGGCAAGTGTGTGTGTGTCTGTGTGTGTCTGTGTGTGTAATGTGGGCCATGCATTAGGGCTAAAGAGTAAAATTGCACCAGTGAAACTACCGTTGTTCATGATTTTTGATCAATTGTTACAAGCTAAACACCGGGGCGTCATGATTTTTATGCCAAGTTCATACGTACTAGTATGCGAGCTATAGTAGATAATCGTAGATACGTTCAAACACGCAGGGAGGCCGTCTCTTTCCTGATAGGCTAACACAACTGACAAAGATACCCGGGCTTATTACTGGCTAAAACATCGCCCACTGATCCCCTCGGACTGACTGTATATCCCTTACACCCCCCCCTCTGGATGTGGTCCTGCACATGATCCACGGTAAAAATGAATAAAGGGAAACTCTTCTGATATTCGGGGGGGGGGGGAAACGTTTGAAAGAGAGATGAGAAGATGGATGTAACTCTCAATTCTGTACGCAGCTAGTTAGCTTAGCTTAGCATTAAGATAGGAAACAGCTAGCATGGCCTCTATAAACGTATAAAGCTACATTGGTTCATCCAAAACAGGAGTTTGTTCCTGTCAGTGTTACACTCTGAACTAAGATGATTGTATTTGTTTGTTCTTTGTGGTAAAAATGGAGTTGTTTCAAATACACCAAATGATTTAAGTCGTTAGCTTTCTTTTAAAAAGACAAAATGCACGACTAAAAGCATTTGAAACCTATTGTAGAATAACCATGACAGTTGTCCATCCTTATGCTAAGATAAGTTTGCTCGAGCTCCATATCTAACATCTCATCTTCTCATCTAACTCTGAAACAAAGTGAACAGGCAGATTTCCCATAATGTCACACTGCTCCTTTAAACCACAAACTGCTCCAATCAGATGTACGGCTCCCTTTTAAGATGTTTAAACACAATTAAAAAAGTGTTAACTTAAAGTAAGTTCTCTCCTGGGTTTTTAATACCTACTTATACTTGTTGTAGGCATGACGGTGTGGTCACTATGGGGGGAACCTCCAGTTGTTTCAAGTGAAGTGTAGTTTCATGCTAGGTTATGAGTTAGTTTGATAGAGGGAGGGGTCTCTGTCAGTCGACATGCTGACGAGGGGTACAGTACTAAGGAAAGCAAACAGCAGTGTTACTAAGCACACATTTACACACAACACACGTGTTGCTCACTGTTGTTGAGGGCTGTCAGAGACTTCAAAATACCCCCCTGTCATTCATGGTTTAGTTACTATCCTCACCAGTTAAATAATCTTACCTAAATATTTTAATATTTACATTTTTATCTCTCTCTTGAGAAAAAAAACAAAAGAACAAAAAAACTAAGCTTCAAGTTGTCAATAATCGGCTCTTTCTTTTCGTCATTAAAATCAAGATTAAAAGTGCTTTTATAAATCTTTTCTTCTCTATGTACAATTTGTATTAGCTATATAAAAAAACAAAGACGAAAAAAAAAACATCAAAGACAATCATTATCATCATCACCATGTAGTAATAAATAAGAGTACAAAATAAAAAAAGGAGGTTTCAAATGAGTGTGTCTCGGCCCTCAGTAGCACGTTGTGATTGTGACCGGTGTCTCTGCAGAGAGGACAGAGCTGGAGACGCTCAGAGAGGTAACACCGCCCCCCCCCAGCATCCAGGAGTTAGCCTGTTCCCAAATCTATTACTCGCTCACTTTCATTGCAAGTCAACCATGTGACCGTTTGAATTCAAATGGATCACGTGGTTGCTGCCTGAAATCTAAAAGGAGTGATTCTATCCATCAGGTAGTCTCTCTCTTTGGCTTTTCTCTCCCACGCACCCTGGCATTTGAGTCATTTTCAGATTCAATGCACTTGGCGCCAACTCCTAGAAGCGACAGTCGTTTGTTTCCAAGGTTTCCTTTGAGCTCTTTCTATTGCTCTGTCAATGGTTTACTACTTATGCACCAAATGATTTTTCTCAGCCATAATAGACTGCATAAAAGCACCTCAAAATAAACCAGAGACTCCCACTTTGATTAACAGGCTCTGTGGTGCCTGCTGAAGGACGCACCCACTCCCCCCCCCCCCCCCCCCCCCTCTGCTCGAAGATGACAGCACCATGCAGAGGGAAGGCCCTTCACAGTAAATCAAGTTTGATAGGAGAGCACCAGAGTGTGTAGGAGCACCACTATCAGGTCTGAAGCAAACCCAGGAGGGGCATCTCTAGACGTTATTCACATTTGTGCCACAAGTGGACAACTTTTACCTCTAGCTGCATTTCAAAGGCCCATGCACGGTCAGCAGGAAGGGAGCGAGACCCCCCCCCCCCTGCTGGCGGTGGATGGGTAAAGCAGCAATGCAAGGCTCGAATGGTACTTGCAGGATGTTTGTACACACCGCTTTGACACTGCTGCCCTCTAGAGCTTACACAGAGAGATGCTCACCACTACTTGAATGTAATAGGAAGAAAACGTGTGCCACCAGTTCTGTCTCTGTGCGGTAGAAGTTGCAGATCTGGGTCAAGTGGCATTTGCTAAAAGGTGTCACTTATTTCAGCCTCTGTGGGGCAACAGATGTGTAAAGTGACAGGAACAAATGGCAAGCAAACGACGACTTTGCACAAATGACAAATGTCTCGAAGCATTACATCATCACTCTGCCTCTGGGCAAAATCAATTCACTTGCCAACGCTATTTGAGCCAGATTAGAGTCAGAGCACCGAAGCACAGCATCAAGTGCCATGAAGAGTAGCCGAAGGAATGAGAATCGATCAGAGCTGGAAGTTGAGCACCAGTCGGAAAAAGCTGGAGGGGTGTAGAAGAGGAGGAGCACGTCATCTAACGGCAAGTCAAGCAGCAACTTTCTGTCCGAATTTGGGTTCAAATGTCAATTGTTCTAACCTGGGCATTGTTTCCTTGTTTTTGCATGGCAGTGCTTGATTTAGATTGACTTGTTTTAGAGTGCTAGGGGATCAACAGCAAAACCAAGCGCTGCTCTTCAGCTCGAACATCAAAGACGCAGCCTTTTCATGTGTCCTACTTCTTACTGCGACCACATCAAAAAGGTCAACATTAAAGTCCAATTGTTTGTGCAAATACAACTGTTATTTCCACTACACTGCTTTGACAGCAGAAACCACTTCTATTGATCAGACAACAACAGAACATGTTCTTGTTGCACATTATGCTAGGAAAATGGAAATGGTGAAAATTTGAAGCAAATACCAAGATAAAGTATTTGCAAGTGCCAGGTAATAGCAAATATAATATAATGTATTCGACAAAAGTGCTGCTGGTGCACTGAATCATTCCAGGTAATGACATTTGAATATTAAACACAGTAGGGAAGTTGATAACAATTGCAATGATCTTTTATCGAAGTCTAAACTGCCTTGAATTCAAAGATACGTATCTGATAGGTATCTAAGGCTTTGTACACATATGTACGGATGATTACTTTGCGCGTTTCTTGCTAGGCAGATCGTGTCTCCTCCTCTAGGTACAGCTGGAAGTTTGACAAGAACCAAGACAAATCGGAAACAGAGACAAAAGGTTACACGTTTTCCAAACACAGAAAAAGCAAATGTCTGACGGACTCAGACTGATTGATTTAAAAAAATACATAACCAAAAAAAACAAACAATCACATCATTAATAATAACATTAATGAAAACAGCAATAATAAAAAAAAACAAGTCTTCATTATAATAATACCTGTAATAACAACATTGACAGTAACAATAGCAATCATAATAATATTGATAATAATAGCAATAATTCGAATCATTAAAATTCTATGAACAAGAAAAAGCAAATGGAGTTCCTCTCCGGGGACGAGAGAGGCAGAGCACCACAGGCAGCGTGTCGGAAACACCTGCCTGACATGAGGTAAAAAACAATAAAAACATCCCCTCCTCCAAGTGGACTGTGAAGGGGGGGGGGAGATGCCAGACTGCAGGACGGCTGAGAGACATTCATCCACCCTGCGCTGCTCCACCGTCAGTGTGTGTGAACGTCCGCCCTCAGACAAAGTGGCTGTAGGGCCCAGTGAGGCGGGTGAAGGCATAGGGAGACACAGTCACCATGGAGGAGGTGTGGCAAGTGGGGGCTAACCGCGTCACCGGCCCCTCCCTCTTGTCTTTAGATTGTCCCGGTCCTGGGCTGGCGCCGGCCGCCGTCGTCCCCCACTTGCGCTTCTTCGAGAGCGCCTTGATCTCCTCCTGCGAGAGGCCGAGCAGCGCGCCCTCCTGCTGCCGCTGCCGCGCCCGCTCCGCCAGCAGCTTCATCTTGGTCTCCCAGATGGCCAGGCCGTGGTTGGGCTGGTTCAGGTTCTTGTGCTGGTAGAAGACCAGGGAGATGCGCGTGGGGTGGGAGCGATCGGGCTTTTTGAGCGGAGTGGTGGCGTGCAGCTCCCGCCGAGCGCACTCGATCAGGATGGAGCCGTGGGTCGGGGCGACCGCCACACCCCCGATGTTGTTGTCCAGGAAGTTGTGCTCGCTGTCGGACCACTCGTCCTCCTCGCGGCCCTTGTTGCTCTCGGCGTCGCTCTCTGCGCGGCCGGGGTTCCAGCACGCCTGATCCGACTGCTGCAGGGCGTCGGGGAAAAGGCGGCCCTCGGGGGCGGGGGACGGCGTGCTGCCCGCCAGCGAACCTCCGCACGACTTCCACGATTTCTCCTGCAGCCCGAGGGGAGTGGGACACCGACTCTCCCCCGTCTTGGACCAGATCTTGTCGGGGTAAGCTCCTGCGGGGTTGCTGTGCTTCAAACCGGGGATGAACGCCGGCCCCATGGCCCACGGGTTGGGCTGAGGGCTGGGGGCCGGGCTGGGCCAGTGCTGAGGTGTTCCCGGACGGGGAGACCCCTGGTGGATGTTACCCGGGAGTGCTGGGACGAGATGAGGGGACGGAGATGGAGAGGGGGGTATCTGGAGTGATGGCGACGGGGCAGGGGATGCCATCCGGGGGTTTAAGCCGGGGTAGGACGTCCACTGCTGGGGGAACGGCTGCTGCTTGTCGGGGGTCATCAGCGAGGCCTCGGGGGCGATCCTCCCATTGAGCTTGTGCCCAGGCCAGGGGGCCGGCTGGGGGGTGGTGCTCGGTGTGTTAGCCTGGCTCTGCATCGGGTTCTCATACACCGGCATGTCCATAGGCTCCTGTTTGATGAGCGGCGTGCCTCTGTTGGAGGAGTCGGAGCAGACGGAGGAGGGGCGGGACTGGGTGTAGTCCGCAGGCTGGATGTAAGCGCTGTGGTTCGGGTGGTTGGCGAGCTCGGGGGGGTTCGGGTAGGACTGCGCCAGCCGGGCCTGGAGACTCTGAACATCCGGCTTAGTGTCCACCGGGACAGGAGTGCCGCCTTGTTTGGGCAAAGAGCCGTTTCGACCCTCGTAGGTCCTCAGCTTGGGGCGGAAAAGTGCATTGGGGGGGTAGTTGTAGTAGCCATAGTGCATTGCGGGCAGATTGGGGTGGAAACCGTTGACGGGGTCGAGTGCAGAGGGCTGGCCGGTGGGGGGGGGGGCCTCCCCTTGCATAGTAGGCAGGGTGGGGGTACCTGCTGTTGAAGGGGTCTGCTGCCTGCACAGGGTATCCATCCATTGATCCGTTGAAGGGCTCCTTCTTGATGTTGGGCTTCACCTCTTGTTTTATAATTGCTGAAAGTTTAAAACACAAGACAAGGTCAAAACAAAACAAACTTCAAATGCATTTCAGTTTGTAATTGTTTGAGCTTTCTTTTTAGTGTTAATGAAATACTTTACAATCTTTGCAAGGTTCTAATCGATTCCCACTCAAATAACTTACTGCAACAAAGCTACCCTGGATTGAGGAAGAGCCTTTATTTGTTGTATAAAATCACCATTTTGGGAGAGATGAAATACATCTTTATTCAACAAATGTACTTTTGTATTTCACAAAGCTCTTCAGTTATCTAAAATGAAACAATATCTACAAAGCCACCGCTGGAATCTAATAGTAATATATAATATATGGTGCGAAAAGAAAGCAAAAATGCTGTGCAGCGCTCTGATATCATGAATGAATCTTAGTAGTACTATGACTTTTAATTTGGGTTAACTTTCCATTCTCACTGGTCCATGTTTTACTGTCTTTTTTACTGTTTTGCTTTAATTTTACATTTTTCATTTTATTTTATTTAAAATTGCTTTATTTTAACCTATTTTAATTTCTTGTCAGCTTTAATTTAAGGGAATTTCATTAGGATCACTGTATGTGTTATCTTGTTCTGTATTTATTGTAATATTGTTGTGTTTTCTTCTTGTTCTGTAAAGCACTTTGGGCTGCTTTGTGCATGAAAGGTGCTCTACAAATAAAGTGTATTATTATTATTATTATTCCTTACAGCCCTACTGAACATCTGCTCAAACGACAATTTCATTCATGAGTACCAAAACATCATCTTACCTTTATTGCCTGGGGGGTGAGGGGACCCCGTGACGCAGACCTCTGTCTTCACCACGGTTTTCTCCGGCGTCTCCCCCGCCTGCTGCAGGAGTTTGTTCTTCTTCTTCTCTGAGTTTGCCTTCTTGGCCTCCAGGCGGCGCTGTCGGCAGGACTTGGCCGGTTCGGGCAGTTTGCGCACCGGTCGTGGGAAAGCCTGCAGCATGTGGATGGCTCCCGTCTTCATCTTCATCCGCTGCCCCTCCTCGCTGCCAAACTCGTCCGTGGGAGAGATCCTGTAGAGAGGCAACACGTGCAGCTGCTCGTCCTCAGGGACACCCTTCACCGCGCGGTTGTCCTCCTTCGTCAACGTACACACCTAAAACACAGAGAGAGGGAGAGTAGATTAAACTATGAATCTCTTTTGCTTTACTAAAACCACCAGACTCAGGGACAGCTTCATCCCACAGGCCATCAGACTGTTAAACACCGGAACTTTTGAAACAACATCCATGACATTCACCTGTTTGCAACTTATTTTCTCCAGGTACAGGGATGGGGAGGGTGTTTGACTGTATGTATCGATGTATATGTATGTGTATGTGTATATATGTATATGTGTATGTGTGTGTGTGTGTGTGTGTGTGTGTGTATGTATATGTGTATGTGTGTTTATGTATATGTGTAAATGTATATATGTCAATCAACAAGTAAAGCAGATTAATAATAATAATAACAATAATAATAATAATGATAACTATTTATAGATTATAAATAAATAATTTAGGGACAAGGGGGTGAGATTGAATAAATGATACTTCTTCTCACTCCTTTTCGAACACTAGATGTGGGACTGTTTATGTTGCTAATGCTGTTATTGTTGTTGTTGTAAATGTCACTTTGTTTTGTTTTCTCTTACATGACTATGCACTGCAAACATTTTTGTTTTTGTAATTATTTATTTTACTTGTTCGAAATAAAATGTATCAATCAATCAATATATATCAATATTCCAATTACTAGTATATAGACTATTCTGCACAATTTCCATTATATTTTATTTACTTGCACTATTATCAGTGTTATTGTGTTGCACTGTTGGAGGAGCCTGGGACCTAAGACTTGCATTGTCATAACTCCACTGGAGCTATGCACACATGACTATAAAAGCCTTGAATCTTGAAAACGTATGCATTCGTCCCACATAGGGGACATTTACGTTACAGCAAAAGTGAAAGACAAAAAATAAAACACTATTAGATGAAGGGCATGCATAATAATATTTAAAATGAAAAAGTTTCCAATTTACAAAGTAAACATAAAACATAGAAGCTAGATAACAGAGGTAAAATGATACATTACTTACAGATTCTTGTTACAGTAATAACATTGTATTATACTCTTAATTCATCTCAAAATACCCTGACATTTGTCGTGATCTTACCACTGTGCAGCCGTTGTACAGGTTGTGCTGGTCCTTGTGAGCGTGTGCACAGAAGTCCATGCACGCGGTGACTCCGGAGAACGGCCGGCCTTCCTTCAGTCCCAGCCGGCACTCTGGAGCCTTGGACTCTGTCAGGCACTGAGGGAGAGGACAGAGTTTATTACACATATCTGCAGACACCTTATATCCTCTCTTTCACAGTTTAAGCTGCTCATGTCTCGCCCTGCTGATCAGGTTAAGCTTTCTATTTTATAATAAGCCGTCTTTATACTTGTCTAATTTATTGCTGCTACAGTACATTCCCATTTGAACAAGTGTTTATGTTTATTGCTATGTTCTAATGGTGAGTATTGTATGTACCGTTGCTGTCCTTAGAAAAGCCAAAGTAAATGTTTCCCCCGGGTGAACAATAAAGTCTATCTAATCTAATTTCCTCACATTCATTCAAGATAAACACACAAAGGAGCACTTCAGAGGTGTGACACATTGTAAAAGTAAATGTCTTAGACCCCATTTACACGGAAACACATACGAAACGCAAACAAACCGAATACGATAACAAAAAAGTATTCCGTTCGCTCGGGAGCGCTGGAGACGCTGTAGTACATATGCCGGGCCTGTAAGTGGCGCTGCTGCCGCCACAAAATACACCAAAAGCAGCGAGGAAGACCCCCGAGCATGGTTGCCATGGTTGCCCTTCTGTTTATGCCCCGCGGTGGATTTAGCAACATGTAGTTCATGTAGTTCTCCATGTCCACTTGTTGCTGATGGTTGTGGAGCTGTAGATTTTGCACTAACATCTGTAGCATGGTCAGTAGCTACTGACCATGCTACAGCAGTGAGCAGGAGAGGCGGGGCTATGGCTTCATCGTTATCAGGAAATGATCGTATATAGGGCGTACACACGGAGCCGTTTGGCCCCCCAGAGCGTTCCGTTTGCAGATCTATCCACCTTGGGACCCGTTATCGTTTGCGGGGTCCGTTTCCGCGTTTCCGTTACGGCCTCGTGTGAACGAACGGGCTATACGAAAGAGAAAAGTAGCGGATACAACCGTTTGCGTTCTCGTATAAACAGCACATTAGTCTTTTTGCAAAGATGCAAGAAGTGTTATTACCAAACAATATGCCAACTCTGGATTAATAAAGTATATATCTATCTATCTATCATGTGAACGTCTTGAGGATTCTACTCATTGTGTGTGAGGACGATTATAAGTGTAGTTGTTTGCGGTAGACATGTGTTACTGTTTAAAAACTATGGTTGGTACTTGCTACGAATTGAACTGTTAATGTTGTTGTACCGAACTATCACTGAAACTTTTAGCAGTGAGTCGTTTTCTATCAATTACCTAATCATCGTAGCTCTAATTATGACCTGTTGCTTTTTGGGAAACTGTGTGTTCAGCATTCGTTGACTGTGTTAATACACAAGGTTTTTTTAGTTTTTTAAATGAGAATAGTTTACAGAAGCTACAAGAGGGCACATTGTTACCTCAGTCCCCTCCAGATCATTTGTTATGCCTTAAAATAAATGGAAAGAAAGTATTCTTGCACTGAACCTTAACTTTTGAATACCGTGACCCCCCAAGTATTTGACTTTCCAACTCACCTGGTTGCTGTATGCCTGCGGAGCCAGCTGCTTGTACAGAGGAGCCAGTTCTGTCGCCAGGTGCTGAAGGTTAAGCCCCAGTTTGTCCTCCTGAAGAGCACACACACAGATCAGAACCACACAGGTACACTTTACAAAACATGTACACTTTACAAAACATGTTCTTTTGTGTATAGCGCATGGTGGAAAGGAGCAGGGAGAAGAACATCTTATTTTACCTGCCCCTTACCATAAAAAAGTAAAATAAAAGCAATATTCTTTCAGTCACAGTTGCTTACACATACTGAAACATAAAACCAGAACACACTCAAAAGTCAACTTCAGGTCTTAATAATAATAATACATTTTATTTTTAGGCGCCTTTCAAACACAAACAGGAAATCATGGAGGAGACAATCAAGTGGACACAAATGAAACATATAATGGGGAGCACTACAGTGAGTAGGCAGATTTGAACAGGTGGGTTTTTAATTGGGATTTGAATATGGTGATTGTGTCTGACTGTCGGATGTGCGGGGGGACCCGAGGTCTTAGGGGTCTTCTGTTTCTGTCTTATCATGTCATTGTGTATTTTGGTTTATTTTTGTCATTGCTATTACTGTAATGGTCTTTTTATGATATTATCATTATTGTTTTGTCATAATTGTTTTGCTTTTTTAGATAGCACCTGCATTTGTACTCTTGTATTTTCTCCTGTTATTGTGCTGTGTGGGAAAAACCAATAAATAACTTCCTACTGTCTAATTACGCTTTCTTTATATATTTTCTTAAACATAAAAATGTTCTTACAGCCCTTTAAATCATTCGGCAAAGAATTCCACTTCTTTACGCCAACTACAGTAGTACGTGCAAACTGATGCTTGAAGTTAAAACAAACCACAAAGCCACAGAGATATAACGTTTACCCAAGACAACAAGTGACTAAAGTGTGAAATAAAATGAGTACCTGTTCAGGGCGCTCTCCTTGCAGCCTGAACTTGCGCGGGGTTTTGCTGCGGGCGTACTTGCAGCCGTTGAAGTACATACTCCAGGAGCACCCGAAGGAGAAGGAAGCGCCGCAGGTCTCCATGTCTTTACCCTGACACGCACAGGTCCGACTGCAGGGGGAGACAGGGAGCACGCTCTCAGGGTTAGGCAAGGCAAGTTTATTTATACAGCACTTTTCAACACAAGGCAATTCAAAGTGCTTTACAAAAATGAAAGACATTAAGGGGATAAAACACATTAGAAACCTTAAAAAGCAAAGATAATAAAACATGAATAACACAGGTACATGAATAGAAGTTACAGTGCAGTGTAAGATGTGAATAGTTCAATTAAACGCAGCGGGAAAAAGAAAGTCTTCAGCCTGGATTTAAAAGTAGTCAGAGTTGCAGCGGACCTGCAGGTTTCTGGGAGTTTGTTCCAGATATTTGACAATACCCTGAACCAAATTCTCACATTCCTCTAACCCCTAGTCTTCCCGTGAAGTTACAGTTCTTTTGACGGTTCGCTAACCTTTTTATATTCCTTTCATTCTTCTCTTTCAATCATTTTGCATCCCCAGACAATGCATTTCCCCCTATTTTACTGTTACCCAAACCCATCTTTGACCTTTAAACCACTTTTCTTTTCAATTCCCAGAATTAGGATATTTAAACCTGTTTTAATGCATAAATGATAGAATAGAATAGGAGGGATGAAACCCTCTGTAATGGTCACACATGCAGAGCACACAGCACACACAGTGAAATGTGTTCTCTGCTTTTAACCCATCCTAGCCGGGCTGGCTCCGGCCTATATAGCTGAACTCCTCCAGCGCTACACCCCAGCCAGAGCTTTAAGGTCTGCTGACCAGCTGTTGCTGATAGTGCCCAAGACCAGGCTCAAAACCCGAGGGCACCGAGCCTTCGCAGCAGCTGGCCCGAGGCTCTGGAACACTCTGCCCCTCCATGTGAGGTCGGCCCAGACCCTAGGGGTTTTTAAATCTACTCTTAAGACACACTTCTTCTCTCTGGCCTTCTAGTTAGAGCGGAGCACGACTCCTGACTTTTCCCTGTGTTTTTTTTTTTAAATATCTGTTTATTATCTTTTATTGTGATTATAGAAATGTGTTTTTATGTGATTGTAGTTATTACATGTACAGCACTTTGGCCCGACCAAAAATCGCTTTTAAATGTGCTTTATAAATGTGCTTTATAAATAAACCTTGATTTGATTTGATTAGAACCAGGAGTCTAGTACTAGGAGCAGTGGGCAGCTATTGTACAGCGCCCGGGGAGCAATGGGAGTGAGGGGGGAAGGGGGGTGTCCAGTGCCTTGCTCAAGGGCACCACGACAGGGCAGGAGGTGAACTTGGACCTCTACAAGTAGCAGTCCACACTCCATATTTTAGGTCTGGTCGGGGACTTGAACCGGCGACCCTACGGCTCCCAGTCCAAGCCCCTACTGACTGAGCCACTGCCGGACAATGATGTGTAACCTGTGCATGTTTTACATCCTGGGAACATTCTGTTTTAACTGGGCTGAGTGGGATGTAACAACATGGCAGAGAGAAATGTCTAAAGGGAATTTAGGGAAAAGAATGACACAACTTTTTTTGTTTTGTAATTTTCTGCTTTTCTAATTCATTTTATTGCATTTTGTGTCTTTGTATCTGTTTATGTTTGTTTGTTTGTATGCTATAGTTTTTTTTAAATGGTACAGCGTGCTTCAGTATTTAGAAAAGCGCTAAATGCAATTGAATATGATTATATCAGGAGTGCAAATACAAGCTCTTATTCACTGAATCTAAAGTGTAATTGTTTTTGAACTGATATGTAAATTATCTGGTGAATTTCTGGCAGTTACTTCTTAGAAGTGTCATAAAACACATATATTTACTTTATCTTCTATGTATATATGTGTGTAAGACAAACAGATACAAGTTGACCTCATATATGATCAGTTCATCAGCTTATACAGTTTGAAAGTAGAGTAATAACCGAGTGTGGCAGTAGTTGGTGAAGGCTTGCTGTAACAGGTTAAACAAGGGTGTGTTCAAAATGCATAGCTTTTTGGAAAAACTAGTTCCCGTCAACGTTCCGTTTTGTGTATTCATACATCATTTAAAGGTGGGGTAGGTAAGTTTGAGAAACCGGCTCGAGTTCGCTAGAATTTGAAAATACACAGCCGGAACAAATCTGCCACTTCCTTACAGAGCCCCTCCTCCAACACACACGAACGCGCACATGACCAATGAGGGCACGAGATAAGTTTGTGCACAGATGGAAGGCTGACAGGCAGGTAGGCCATCCAGTTATTTTAGCCGGGCCGGCTAAAATGATTGGTCGTGCTTTTTACAGTATTACAGCTTCCACAGATGACATTTTTTTATGGATTTTTTGTCAAAGCACTTAAGATATTCATTGCTATCGGGATGTTAAGAGCATTCCATGGAATATAACAAAAAGTGTATCTCGAGCCGGTTTCTCAAACTTACATACCCTACCTTTAAAAGGTCAAATGTGGCTTGTTTTGGAATGACTTTTCATTGTCACAGACCCTTATTAGGGAGCATTTGGACCCCCATCTCATAAGGTTTTATCCATGAAACTTACATATTATAAGTTGTATATTACAATATGTAAGTTAACTTTTTTCGCTATTTCTTGTTTTTGTAATCTTCTTAGGGTGTGGGAGGTCATTTAGCCTTTTTAAACTAGTTTTAACATCACATATTCTGTACAGAAGCTCATGAAGTTGCACTCGTCCACTCAAATACATAAGAAAAATGTTTTCGCATACTTCCACTCTTGTCTTAGGTCCAAAAAGTTCTTATTAGGATGCCAAGAAAAACACTTAAAATGCAGGTGCAGTTAAAACACAGAAATACATGCAACCCCTCTGCTCTCTGCACATTCACACACATGTATATTATAAACCAGGGGTGTCCAAAGTTTTTCACTGAGGGCCACATACAGAAACGTATTCGAAGGGCTGGGCCACTCCCTAGAGGAGAGGTTTATGGCCTCATAAGTTCAGTTAGAAGTCAGCAAAATCAATCAAATGTAGGTAAATGATGCTTGTTACTTGAATATGCTTTAAGAAAAATAAACAGCCGACATCACAGCTCTCCAGAGGGTTTCATTTATTTTGATGGCAGCTCATCCCTTAAAACAGACGCCTCAGATTGCTTATAAGTGGAAATATGAAGAGGTGTATTTCAAGGTTGTTATGTAAATAAGTCATTGGGCTTTTTTTATCAACTTGTTAGAACATATTTTTTACTTTAATTGACTTAATTTATTGGAAATTGGGCTTATTAACACATGAACACTACTGAGTAATATATGTTTACAGATGTATTTAAGAAGTACAATACAAGACAAGCTCAAGTTTCATTCATTCATTGGGCCGTATAACATTATACTTTTTGAATTTGATGAGGGCCGATTCAAAATGGCTCGCGGGCCGCATTTGGCCCCCAGGCCGTAGTTTAGACACCCCTGTTATAAACCCAAAGCGTGTCAGAGAGCACCGAGACGCTACTCACTCGTCGTTGAGGCCGCAGCGCCGGCTGGTGGCATTTCCGTACTGAGTGAGGGTGTTGCTGAGCTCCTGGTACAGCTGGTCAGCGAGACCCCGCTGCACCCCCTCCCACGCCATGATGAGGATGATGATGTGGGCGTTCTCACAGTGGTGTCCGGCACGGTGACGCACCAAACACAGCAGCTTCTCCGTCTCACCGCTACGACGAATCACCTGACAGGAAGCAGAGGATTGTAATTATTTTGCTTTAAAGGTCACATATTTTACTGTTTTTCATCAATATATTATAGGTCTCAGATATATACAGAACATGTCTCTGAAGTGTTTGGCTCCAAACACCAAACAGATCATTGCAGCATCCCATAATCCCCTCTGTTTCAGCCCTGTTTCAAAAGTGCTGATTCTCTGTCTGTTACTTTAGATGAAAATAAGGAGCCCCTCCCCACGCCCCTCTGAGAGATATTTGGTTAAAAAGAACACAATGGTGCTCTTGGAGGAGATTCAGGTGATAGGGGGGGGGGGGGGGGGTTACCTTGGTTGGTGATTGGCTAATGGTTACACAAGCCAAACAAACATTATGACATCACAAAGTGGCCAAAATCTGATCAGGTCATTTTCAGACAGGTTTTTATATAAATGGATCAGGACAAAAAGTGAGAGAATCTTTTTTCCTGAAACTTTCAGAGTCTCTTTACACAGAGGGGACACATGTTGATGTAGAAGAGACATGAAGAAGAGGGGACACGTGTTGATGTAGAAGAGACATGAAGAAGAGGGGACACATGTTGATGTAGAAGAGACATGAAGAAGAGGGGACACATGTTGATGTAGAAGAGACATGAAGAAGAGGGGACACATGTTGATGTAGAAGAGACATGAAGAAGAGGGGACACATGTTGATGTAGAAGAGACATGAAGAAGAGGGGACACATGTTGATGTAGAAGAGACATGAACAAGAGGGGACACATGTTGATGTAGAAGAGACATGAACAAGTGGATTTTGCATAATAGGTGACCTTTAAGTCATTCAGGAGAGGTTAGGTTAAAGCAAAACTTGTATTTGTGCTCATTAAATTAGCTTATTCTTAATTTGAATATAGAATTACAAACTTACAACTTGAATCAGATTCTGAAAAACCTTTATTAATGTCCTTGGGGAAATTCAGATGGAAAAGCAGCAACAGCAGTTCACTCAAGGATAATGAGAATATAAATAAAGTAACAGTATAAATATAACTAACAAGAGGAGGAATAGGTCAAATAGGGAGTAGTTCACATGGTATGCATGATCATTTGCTTGTGATTATTGTGTTAGCAACAAACATTACTCGATGTCCTGTGCATTTGAAAGACACAATGACAAACAGGTGATGTTACACAGCTTTTTGAAAGGATATCTGACACCTTTACTGAAATCTGACCTGCTGTGGTCACCGGATCCCAGTCCCAAATGTGCTTCTGACGCTTTACGTTGAATAAATGAGGAAGCTGAACAATGTACGGATAACGTATTTAAGCCACCTAGAAAAAGACCCACGTAAAAGAACATCTAAATCGGCTTTCATGTACGCAAAAATGGAAATATTTTCCCTGCTTTACCTTAAATACGGACAGTTATTAAGTCTATTCTTCTGACTCAAGCCGTGATCTATGCTCTCGCCAATAACACCACCACCAGACTCAATAAAATAAATAAGACTTGTATTCTGCAGAACATGGGAGTTACTTGTCTTGTTAGTTTGTGTGAATTTGGTGTTTCAAACGGTTGGTTCAGATCCATCAAAGTGATTAAATAACACAAACTAACCCAAATATGGAGGCAGCGGTAGACCAGCAACTCCTATAGTTTGTGTTTGAATCTTGTAGCGTTCAAAAGCGCTTCAATAATGGCTTCAGTTGCTCTTTGGCAGCAAGGTTAAGCTGTGAAAGTATTCTATATATAACATACTCTTGAACTGATATGGTTTTCTGTAGGTGGGCCTTTAAATTAGGTGGTTCAAATACTTTTTGCAGCTGCCCCTGTCCACGGCAGTTTTTCTTTTTTACAATCTTTGCTTATACAAAGAAAGATAAATGACTGTTAATAAGTGTAAAGAGAGGGGGGTGTATTATCCCCACACCCCCCCCTCTTTATGTCTCCAACACCAACACTCAGCAGGACGGCTGTTTTGAATCCATAAAGCCATTAGCAGGGTGTGTCAGGGGTGACACCTGAGGGGGAGGCCTCCTGCTTCTTTACTCACTGTGGGTGACAAACCTGTCTAGGTGTCTCCCCAGGACACACACACACACACACACACACACACACACACACACACCACACACACACACACACACACACACACACACACACACACACACACACACACACACACACACACACACACACACACACACACACACACACACACACACACACACACACACACACACACAGCTGTTGTTGATTGGCTGCCATTGTTGTCGGATGGGACAAAGTCCAACAAAATCATGTTCTCTCACTTGAAAACAGGATTTGGCTGAGTTTTTGACAGACTGTCACAACTGTGTTTTTGAGAGTTAAAGGCCAGTATTTTAAAATGGAAATGTAATAAAAGGAATAAGACGAGACAATACTATGGCTCCCAAAACTGGTGCTTCATAATCCGACGTCCCAGAAACCTCACCATCTCTGTCAAAACCTCAAACCCATGTTAGATGTGATGCTGCTTACCCATTTAGCAATAGGACATCCATGTGAGCTCTTCCCCTCTCGGCCTGTGTAAACCACCTTCTCGACCCGGACGGCATCTCCTTTCTCTCCGTACCTGCACAAGAGCAACAATACAATTCAGTGTTATTAAAGTTCATCCACAGCGGCAACTATTTTTATAATCTGTTAAAGTAATGTTTCATATAAAGACGGCTATTTTTAATTTCAAATACATGAAGATGTGCTGTTTCTCTGTGTGTATTATCATATAAACTTAATATCTTTTGACATTAAAAAGACATCACTTTGGAGTTAAACTGGGATAGACATTGCTCACTATAAGTGTCAGTTTAAAGATGAGGAAAATAATACTTCATCATATCCAATTTGCACTCAAACACAAGAAAACTGAAAAATACTGAAAAACAAGTAACCAGCAATATGGATCTGTGCTCCATGAATGTACTTACAACCAAATAAAACCTTAAAAACATGTGCAAAACTAGCCTGCATTTCACAGTTCAAACTGTTTAAATATTGGCACTCAATAACAGGAACAGCTACAGATGAGACTGACTGTGTCATACTGTATATGTTTCCTTTTAGGAAGGTTATATTTAAACGCATACTTGTTTTACATTGTGGACGCAGTGGCACATCACAGCCAAACCCAGAAGAAATGGGTGTGAAAAATGCAATTTGTAACACCTGCAAGTCCACATTTCAGGGTGAAGCAGCAACCTTAGAGTAAGGTTTTGACAACAAACTAAAACCTTCCGTGTTTTGGGATTTTGAATGCTTTATTATGACCCAACATTTGAAGTAAAGTCATTACAAAATCGTGTGTATGCTGTCAATTATTGTCAAGTCAAACTCTTAAAAAAATCAGACAAGAAAAGTAAATCAGTGCATCTCTGCTGCAATATGAGACATAATCACATTTTTATAGGATATCAATGATTCCTATTGGTCATCACCGACCTCCTCACAAGTGTTTGTTATGTGTTAAGCGAGGTGGTCTAAGTCTGTGTTATTATTTCAGTGTGTGGAAGTAGGACTGTATGCCAGCCCTGACAGAGACAGGTGTGTTCACGAGGCTCTGCTGAGATTCACACTAACACGGCACAGAGAACCAGAACCCACGAGACCCGAAGCGACGCCAAGAGGAACATTTCTCTCCTGGTGTTTGTGTCCACGTGTGCCTGCATGAGCTTTTTAGTGCACACATAACATCTATTTACATTTGTTTTGTTTGTCTGGGACTGTGAACACCTGCTTGAGCTAATAATTGATTGGGGAGAGAATATTTAAAGGGACAGTTCACCCAAAAGAAACAAAATGTTCCCTCCTTACCTACAGTGCTTTTATCAATCTAGATTGTTTTGGTGTGAGTTCGGCTGTAGAGATGTCTGCCTTTCCTCCAATATATTGTAACTAGAGGGCACTGGGGTGCTCAAACTGCCAAAGGAAATACATTTAAATCTCAAAAGCTATTTCACTTTCTGTTAAACCTGATCAAGATAATCCACAGATGTTGTTGTGAGAATTTGAATGTAGAAAAAACCGTTTTCTGGACTGTTGAAAAGCAATCCCTTCTCTAAGGACTATATTGAGTTGGGTGTCAAAACATACTTTTAATTCTTAGCATTTGAAGGCTGATGTGGCTGATGTGTTGTTTATTTGAGTGATTGAGCTATTGCGTTAACGTTTATATGTGTTTTTTATTTGTGATTTTGGCTACTTGCTCTTGTCTGTACAGCAAGTTGCCTCGTAAATAAATGTGACTTCTTTCTCATCTCTGTGCAGAAGGAGCATGCAGCTTCTCGTGGATGAGAGGCTTGTCCCAGTGCAAGATGAGACAGCTGTGAGGTGAGATATCTCAGGTTAGCTTCTTGTCTATGAGTAGATGCACAATAACACAACAAGAACAAGTTCCAACATGAAATTGATCACAACAAGCTCTGTGGATAATCTTGTGTAACACGTCATGATTTCTGGAAAGATACATTGCTTTTGAGTTTTTAAAATGTATGTTTTTGGTGTTTTGAACAACACAAGCTGAGTGCCATATAGTTACATTACATTTGAGAGGCAGTAGATATCTCTAAAAGTTGGCAACACACAACAAAACAATCTACATCGATAGAAAACACTACAGTTAACAGGAAGACCTTTTGAAATCATAATGTTCTGGAGAAAAGACAAATGTACAACATAACAAATAATCTTGCATTATTGTCCGTGAGTGGTGATTTGATTGCGTGAGTGTAGTTCAGTACAAAGAAAATAGTTCCTACATGAAACCTCTCAAAACAAGTCCAAGAACTCACTACAAAACAATCCAGAGTCATTAATAGCACTATGAGGCTGAAGACCTTTCTTCTTGCCGCTGCTTCAAATTGAACAATTCATATTGAAGAAGATTCAACTTATTGTCATTACGTAGTACAGGTACTATGTAACGAAACGGTTTCTCTGCATTTGACCCATCCTAGTGTTAGGAGCAGTGGGCTGCCATTATGTACGGCGCCCGGGGAGCAGTGTAGGGAACGGTGCCTTGCTCAGGGACACCTCGGTAGCACTTTCATTTCATTTCAAACCTTTATTTATCCAGGTTGTATCCCATTGAGATTATTGATCTCTTTTTCAAGGGAGACCTGCTCAAGTAGGTTCCACATGAAACATTAAAAACATAAACAGAATAACAAAAGGACATCGTACAGCATCATTACAGGGATTACAATTTACATAACTATCCACATGAACAGGTACCAACAGCTTCCGATTGAGTAGCATCCAACCGAGCTTTAAAAACATTTAGTGGCACCAGATTGCTCAGTTTCCATTTCAATTGCAGACTATTCCAAGACAGTGGAGTTGCGCATCTAAATGCTATCTTCCCTAAGACAGTCCTAGCAGTTGGCACATTTAATAAAACCACAGCATGCGATCTCAGGCAGTAGCCACTTACAATTCGCCGTGAGATCAGGGAGCAGATGTAGGATGGAAGTTTCCCTAACATGGCTTTATATATAAAAATGGTTGGTCTTTCCGGGACTTGAACTGGTGACCTTCCAGTTGCCAAGCCAAGTCCCTATGGACTTCGCCACCGCCCCTTATATCTTCCACTGCACTGTAACTTTAATTTTAGTATTTTATACCTGTGTTATTTGATATTAGCATGTTTTACGTTTATTTTATTGTCTGCTTCAGTGACTGTTTTGAAATGACATTTGATAATGTGTTTCCGCTTCACTATTTCTTAATGTTAATCTCTTTTAATTGCCTTGTGTTGAAAGTTGCTATATAAATAGAATTGCATTGCCTTAAAAGTGAGAGGGAAAACACATTGTTCTTCATTTTCTTGATTTTAAAGCTCCGTAACTATTATTCCCGATGGTGCATGTGTGTATATGTCCTAGAAAGACAAGGTAAACTTAACTAATGTGCATTTAAAAAAGAGGAATAGTTTGGGCGAAAACTAAAAGGTACCATGGGGTCAGGTTAGAATTTTCCAAAGGGGGGTTCGTTTAGCATGAAACACTTGAATTGACTAAAGGATAAGTTTAAAAAGAAAGTAGAAAGAAAGTGAGGTCATAGATAACTATTTCTGAGAGTCGGACCTAAACATTTCAGATGAGTGTATCTCACACTGCACTGTAACTTTTATTCATGTGCCTTTGTTATTCATGTTTTATTATCTTTGCTTTTAAATGAGTGTTTTTAAATGCCATTTCATAATATGCTTCTTAATGCTCCTAATGTCTTCCAGTTTTGTAAAGCACTTTGAATTGCCTTGTGTTGAAAGGTGCTGTATAAATAAACTTGCCTTGCCTATTTCTCGAGGTCTGCTGTTAGAGTGTGGGGGTGTTGAGGTCAGAGGTTACATTGGGTTTGGGGGGGGGAGGGGTCAGAAGTAGTCAGTTTTGCACACGGCTCAGATCGGGTCTCCTGCCTGCTAGATACCTGCCATTGTGAAACCCTGATCTGATGTGACAGTGAGCACCAGGGGCTACAGCTGAATGGGACGCACCCCGAGGTGGCTCAGAGAGGGGGCTGCTGGGGGGGGGTCAAAGGTCGGCTGGGGACATTGTGGCCTGAACATCTTATGTCATCTCTCAAACAACTGAGAGTGGGGTTTCTCCCCCCCTCTCACTCTCTATAATGACTCAGTGGTCCTCTCAGTGAATAGCAGCCAAATGTGGATTCAGTTCAACGATCACTACTGTTGACATGAAGCTTAACACAATGTGGCATCCTTTAATTAAAGAAAGATTTGGAACAAGCTGTTTCTGTTTTAGGGTTTCAAATAACAGACACCATGAGGTATATTCATAAAGTTAAGGGAAGACTTTTTATTTGGTAAGAGAAAGTTGGGTTACATGGATTCTCAATTTCAAACACCCACTTCATTAAAGTCTAAAAGGTTACGTCTATTTTATTTAAAAGCACTAAGCCTGCCTGTTCATTAAGTGTGGTATCAATGAATGAATAAACCAGAGTATTACTTCTGTAAGTACATTTTCGTGGTGAAATCACTATATTTGGTTCTCAAAATAAAGAACAACTATTCTTTTGAGGCATTACATGTTCGGCTATGAAGGGTTAATGGAGTATTTCCCTCACAAAAGAATCATTATATATACATGTTTCACCCTGTGTTCATGAAGACAATGAAGAATCAAAAGGTCTTAATGGCTTGAAGTAATTGTCGTTTCAAAACATTACTTTTTCAAAAACACTTGATAGTTTAATGTTTAAAACACTTTGGACGTGTAGATGGCTGCCTGTGTTAAAACTGTTTAAGCTGAAGTGTTTGGAAAAGTCATTTGTTTGCGAAGTAGTGAGCGGATGAATGAGACTTGGATTATGCTGCACGAGTTGTGGGGGAGTTTCTAAAAGGATGTTTTGATACAGTTTGCAATTATTCATTTAGACTTGTTCTCCTTTGTTTGGTGAAGAATAATGACCGCAGAGCCATGAGATAAAAAGCAAAACAGGGTGAGTAATTGATGAACAAATGGACGTGAAATATGACTTAAACCAAGTTATGAAATATAAAACAACCCTTCATGTAAGATCAAGCACTGATGCTGTGATTAATCCAGTGATTAATCCAGAATGCACTCTGGTTATTAAAATGACCAGCTGGGAGCTCTCTGGTTTCTCCCCCTAAATTAAATAAATACTAATCCTACTGGATGAAGATCAAGCAGCTAATCTCAATCTGTCTTTCTACCACCAAGTCTGCAGATGCTCAGAGTATAAAGTGACAACAGCTCATTGGACTTATTGGTTTGGAGAGCTGTGCAGATCGTGTTGTGTATGTGACATCGATTCAATTAGAGTCCTGACCAGAGGTTGCGCTAGACTTTTTTGCAGCCCTTAATTTTGACGGACAGGATCGTAAAATTCCAGGATCTTAAAATTCCAGTATTACCCGTCGGCCTTTACACAACTCTGACGAGGGGGGGGGTTGAACTGTCAACCGGGGGGTGGGCGCACGCTCGTGAACTGTTAGCGCCGTGTTATGCATGCCCACCGCACCTCACGGGAGTGCGCACAGCGTAAAGCAAATACTCGCTAACATTTCAATGATTTGTTCGGCAAAGTTAGGTTTGGAAACATTTCCTTTTTGGCGGGCATGCATAACACGGCATAACACCGGAGCCTCGCTGCAGGGAAGCTTTGGCGCTGTTCCGAGTTTGTTCTAATCTGTCAAAATGACGGACTGCTTTCAGATTTTTCCGTCAAAACATACGTCATAGACGGAAAATATTTGGTTAACGCGACCTCTGGTCCTGACGGTTAATGCTGAATGAAATCATCATTTACCAAAAACATCACATAGATTTTTACCTTCAATTTGACTATTGGATTATTTGATTAATCTGCTTTGAATGTACATTCTTTGCATCAAAAACAACAAATGTCAGTCTTAATTTATATTAAAGGGCCCATGTCATGCTTTTCCGGTTATTACCCGTCCCCTTGTGTGTTATGAAGGTTTTTCTGCATGTAAACGGTCTGCAGAGTCACAAACCCTCAAAGTACACCCTGTAGCGAGTAAAACTCTAACACAGAAAAGACCTGTCTATGCTGCCCCAGAACGCCTCGTTGGAGTTTTCTCATGTTCCATTGTTTGCTTCCTGGGTTCTGTGACGTGTGAACACCCAAATCAACAACAAATGACCGGATTGGCCCAAATGGACCAATCCGCGGAGCACCTCACACACCAGGATCCCTTGGCTAACTAACAGGGAGTCCCCATTGACTTGCATAGAGCTCCCTGAACGCTGGTAATAGACGAGTTGGGATCGTGGAGAAATGCTCTCCGCAGACCCATTCTCACAGCGTTATAAACCTTTTTCTTACTCAATATCAAGCCACACTTATTGTTTTTACTTCGGCTGTGAGTGTTTGTGTGTGGTCAGGATGAGTTTCGCTTGTTCTCGCTGTATCGCCGACCCGGAAACCTGTCCGCTCCTCGCAGCAACGAGCCTCGCAACGTCCCGACCAATCAGAGCACACTGGGCTCACAGGGAGGTAGGGGGCAGGAGCTCCAACAAGCCGTTTAGGACAGAGAGTGAATACCTGGTGAATACACATACTATACAGAGATGCTGTTTGAGAAACCAATGTGATTTTGGAGAATTGCACAATTTAAATATATTCTAGTAGACCTCAACAATGGAATTATGATCAGTAGAAATGGCCATGACATGGGACCTTTAATGACTGAACAAAACTCTAAATAGGAAATGCACCATTTCTATCACAAATGTTTGTATTTATCACTACTGTATATTTTTGTATTCATTTTTTGGGATAATTTTATTTTGAATGACTGAGTCTGGGTTTGAATACTCTACCTTTAAAATGTCAATATGTTACAAAGTTGTATTTCTTATAAAACGGGAACAATTCCAAAAAATACATCAAAATAATACATTAATAATAATAAATACATACAAAATAAAAATAAAATTAAGGATGTATGTTATAATATAAGTATAAATATAAATGACAAATATATATATAAAACAGCTTACAAAATATGAGCAGTATGAAAAGTAGGATGAGAGTGTAGTAGTATATATATATACAGTAGAGTAGAAATGTAATATACTATGGAGCTGGTATAAATAAAGACAGTAGAATATAAACACTACAGACATCTTCTTTCTCTGTGATTGGATTTGAGTCCTGCCTCATTCCTCTCATTGTCATCTGCTGCTTTCCTTGCTTGAGATATTTGTGATGATGCTGATGTTTCCTGTTTCTCCTGCTGGATTCTGGGTCATGGATCCCCTAAGGACAACATGTGAGGAGGAGGAGGAAGAGGAGGGAGAGCATGTGGGAGGAAGATAAAAAGAGGAGAGGGAAAGACTCACCTTGTCTCCATCAGATCTCTTATTGAAGCTACAGTAGGTCCAGATCCCAGGTGATTGTAGTACGGCCCTTCATCTTTCTCGAGGATTTGTTCTAGAAACAGGGACAGTAAAGGGTGAGAAAACTGTAATGTAATATAATTCACTATATTCGACAGATCACAATAATATACGCCTCAAATCTGTATTTACTAGTGCCTGGATAGAGTTCATATGTATCAGTAAAAGTACTTTGACTTCAAATCAAGAATATAGTGTGTCTGTATATAATCAAATCTCAGTTGGTGTAAAACAAAAATTCAAAGGCTTTTGCGATTTATTTTTAGACAGACTCTAAGACATCCTCTTTGTAGCTGAAGACACATCGTCTTTGAGAAGCGTGAGAACGTGCAACTGATTGCAACATCTAGTTCACACACATACTGTACACACATGAACACACATGAACACACAGAGTGCAGGGTGTGGTGTTTGTGTGTGTGTGAGTGTGTGTGTGTGAGTGTGTGTGTAGACACTTTGTAAAGCAGAAGCTTTTTGAGGTAGTGATGAATGAGAGTTTGTGCGAGTGTTGTTGTGAGGGAGTGAGGGTGTGTCTCTGTGAGCGCTGTCTGCATCTGTGTTTATATTGTGTAGTATGTGTGTGTGTGCGCGTGTGTGTGTGTGTGTGACTGCTTTAGACCGTTGTCCTACATGCCTCTGTGGTTGTAGACCACGTCCTCTTTGTATGTGATACTACGCAGCTGAATGTTCACTACATTTAGGCCAGCAACTAACTAATAGTTTATTTGGTTGATGAATTGATCAATTGTCTATAAAACATCATAACATTTCGAAAATGTGTTTTCCAAAGCCTGAGATGACATCCTAAAATGTCTCTGGATTGTCCACAACGAAAGACAATCAGTATACAGTCATAAAGAAGTAAAGAAATCAGAAAATATTGACATTTAATAAGCTAGAATCAAGGAATGTTTAGGAATGTCTATAAGGAAATATATTTTCAACAGTTTGTGGTTAATAAATTCACAGCTGATCGATTCATCTTCACAGAACTACCTACATTACATTCCTAATGGATTTTAAATGTCCCATCTTTGCAAGTCAACTAAAGCGGCGTTGCTCTGGCTCCTGTGCACGGCACTTCTTTATCATACACTCTCTGGATAACAGCATGAGCTAAATGCTCTAGACTTAAATGCTCTTTACTATCAGCTGATTGTCTGGAGAGTGTATGTGCAGGAAGTGTTGTGTGTGTGTGTGTGTGTGTGTGTGTGTGTGTGTGTGTGTGTGTGTGTGTGTGTGTGTGTGTGTGTGTGTGTGTGTGTGTGTGTGTGTGTGTGTGTGTGTGTGTGTGGCTCAGAGGCAATATGAGGTCACATTCCCCTGTTGGTGCAGGAGGCAGCAGGGTGTGGCTCAGGGCAGGAAGTGGAGGAGTCACTAAATCCTAGCCTGGAAATCTGATGTGTGTGTGTGTGTGTGTGTGTGTGTGTGTGTGTGTGTGTGTGTGTGTGTGTGTGTGTGTGTGTGTGTGTGTGTGTGTGTGTGTGTGTGTGTGTGTGTGGGTGCGCACATCATGGCTGTTTCCTGTATCTGTGTGTTGGAGGCAGTCTCATTACAGCATTGAGTTATGCTGAAGGGAGTTGACAGGGGTGTGTGACCAAGCTTTACTATGAAGACTTGTTTTCTGCTCTAAGGAACACCACACAGCTGCTCTCCTCCTCCTGTGCACCCTCTTCAATGTTAAAGGTCTATTTAACAGACATTAAAGGTGGGGTAGGTAAGTTTGAGAAACCGGCTCGAGATCGCTAGAATTAGAAAATACACAGCCGGAAAAAATCTGCCACTTCCTTACAGAGCCCCTCCTCCAACACACATGAACGCGCACATGACCAATGAGGGCACGAGATAAGTTTGTGCACAGATGGAAGGCTGACAGGCAGGTAGGCCATCCAGTTATTTTAGCCGGGCCGGCTCAGATGATTGGTCGTGCTTTTTACAGTACTGCAGCTTCCACAGATGACATTTTTTAATGGATTTTTTGTCAAAGCACTTAAGATATTCATTGCTATCGGGATGTTAAGAGCATTCCATGGAATATAACAAAAAGTGTATCTCGAGCCGGTTTCTCAAACTTACCTACCCCACCTTTAAGTAATACTTTATACCCAAAATAATCATTTGTATATTAACTACCCTGTGTCACCAAGAACTCTTTAAGAAAAAGTTGTGTTCTCACATGCCTTCACATGCATCAAATCATTGAAATTCATACAAAGTCTTGGCGTATTGAAGTAAATCAGGGCTGTGTTTTATCAAAACTATATTGAAATGTTGAATACAAAGTCCCACACAGCTCGTTCTGTATAATCTATGTTTCATTCATCCAGCTGTGTGCTCACTGCTCTCCAAACACATGACTTGTACAGAAAACCTTAGTATTCAAACCCAAATCGGTGCCTGTACAGATGAGTGGTGTGGAACTGTTTAATAGTAAAGGTTTAGTAAAAGTCATGTGTTTGTGAAGTAGTGAGCACAGCTGGATGGATGGATGAGACTTGGATTATACAGCGGGAGTCGTGAGAGAGTTTGTTAACGGATGTTTTGATGGTTCATTCATCAAGACTTTTCTGTGTTTATGATTCTTCATTCACCCTGGAGGGCATCTTAAATATGTGAAGGTTACATGAGGTACGTAATTCATATTCGAGGCGACTTACGTACACTAACATCCCATAGAAATGCCTACAGAAGCAATTTGGGGTTGAGGACTGAGTTAAATAACATATAATGTAATAACATCTAATAAAATAACATACTAAGATATTAAGTATATCATGAATCTTTTGAAGGCCTACAGCTCTACAGCAAGGTCGCATTCACACCAGCCTTGTATAGTCCGGTTGAATCGAACACCTCTGAAGTGAACTAAACAACCGGACTCTGGTCCGCCTAAAAGAGGTGATCTCGGACCGCTTGCAAGTGAACTCTGGAACTGGTGTGAACGCAGTCCGCACCAAAACATAGGAAGCGTAGTATTTACGAGTTACAAGAACGCGGATGTCTTCCAAATCTTTAGCGAAAGTGTCTTTCAAGACATCCGCGGTTGTTTAGTTAAAGAGTGAAGCAGAATGAAGTGTTGAACAGTGTCGTGTAAAGTAAAAATGCTCCGTCAACTACATAAAAGTAAGGTCGTCGGTGAAACGCCCCTCCTTACTGCAGAACGTCTCTCATTATATGTTATAATGTTTTTTAACGGACGTTGTCTGATTATATAATCATATGCGCGGGCCACTAGAGTCTGTTGATCTCCAGATTAACAACAGCATGAGAATAACCTGCCGAAAGTGCCGATGCTCCATGGCGGAGGCTCCGGTAGAAATAGCCGGGATTTGCGTTTTTACCCCCTCAATGTCTGACCAATAGTTGAACAGCATTTCCGAGCACATGACTTGTGTTTAAAGTTTATAGTCCGTTTGAGTTTTGCCCGTGTGAACGCAAACCGAACCTTCTGAAAAATGAAACAATGTAACAAACTGTCGTCTGGTGCGCACCAGAAAACGGGCTATTAGGTGTGAATGCGACCTTAGAAACCGCAAAACATTTTTGGTAATTCCTTCATAGAGAACAAATATTTCCTTTTTCAGTCATTGCAACAAGTTAATGGCTGCTAACCAGTCAATTCAGGTAATATACTGGTTTAGTTATTCACTCATTAATGACAAGCTGGAAATAATAAGAAGACTCTTTTACACTATAAGGATGTGGGTGTATTGAAGCCTCATTCTGTCTAAAACTGTTACTGTTATCCTATTCTAAATATGGAATCTGTTACATGATCTATACGTGTTTCATAGCTTTCTACTGTAGGACCACCTACTATGTTAACCTGAGCAGGGTACGACCCAAACTGAAGCCTTTCTGTCTAACAAAGGCTCTGTTCTGCTTGCCTGCCAGACCCAAACCCACACAAAAGGCTCCTTCTGCCACCACTGCTATTGTTCCCACCCGCTGCCTTTAGTGCCTCACACTGTCGCAGTCTCTATGGTCACAGTCACACCCCCCGGCAACACACACATTCTCAGAAACACTCAACAAGCATCCACACAGAGAGGGACTGTAATAATTGACCTAGTAGTGACAGGTGCATGAATGTTAAGCTGCAAGATATCCAGATTTAGATTCCCAAGAGAGTCCTCCCTGCAGAATATGCATGCCCAGTTGATACTAAAAAGCACCACAAGGAAAAGCTTTTACTATCCAACACTGGTCAGATTTACTGTTCCAACAGACATCAACTTATCTCCACTTAGATATGAATTGAAGCGTTTGAAATGGTGTGAAATGTGTAAGATTGATACTATATTTATCCTAAAAGGGCTCTCAACACACTGACTTACCGACACAAGTGCAGACGGGGAACTCTGCCTGTAGATCCTTGGAAGGAGTATCCAGCAAGCTCTTGGTTGGGGTATCCAGGTACCGCAGAGGAGACTCTAGGAATCCTCTGAGAGACGGAGAGGACAGCAGTCCGTCCTTAGTTGGCGTGTCCTCCTCAGAGTAGCATGTGGTGGAAAGTACTGTTATATCCCCCGAGGATTCGATCTTCATACGCTTGGGCAGCGAAGAACACGGCATGCTGAACATATCCTCAAGTCTCCTGGCCTCCTGGTGCTGATTGTTATCCACCATAGGGCTTTCTGTAGGTGCCTTATGCATGGTTGCTTCACTTTGGGTCCCTGACTTGTTGACTTCCATCTCCCGATCGTCTGGATGAGGTGTGGAGCTGGTTTGAGAGTTGTGAATTAAGGGAGTCGATGATGTGGGACTGAGGTCCTGAGAACTTGTCTGGGACCGGTTCAGCGGCTGAGGGTCTGTAGACATCTCCATGGACTGAGTGGCAGGTGCGTCTGAGGCCGAGTCCCCAAATTCAGCCTCAAACTGCCGGATCAGTTCTTCATACTTGGGGTCTATGTTCATGACACTCGGTAATTGTGAAGTGCAGGATGGAGATGTGGAGGTCACAGGTGTGGTGGTGCTGGTGTTACTGGAGGCCAAGATGCCCACTCCATCTGATTTAGGAAACAGGGCCACAGATGGGAGAATGTGGCCCATGAGGACTGGAGTGTTTTCAGACAAAGCAGAAACAGTGGAAGAGGGAGTCATTGAGGAGCTGGAAATGGATACCTGAGATTGGGCTGGGGCAGGGAGGCCTGCAGCAGCAGCCTGAGTGGAGTTACTGTGGATGGGTAGAGAGGGTAGCAGGCCGGCCAGGGCTGCGGCTCTGTCCATCGCGAGGACTGATGGTTTTTGTACGGTGATCTGATTCTGAGGCAGGAAGGTTGGCAGGGAGGCTTTCTGCTTGGTCTTCTTGATGATTATCGGCTTGGGTTTGGGCAGAGGAGGGACTGCAAGCATCCCGCTCGTAGCTTTAACAACAGGAGAACCTTGGCTGCTTTTTCTCCTCTTGGGTTCCTTGGGTTCCTGTTTGATGGGCAGATGTGGCAACCCTTCTGCCTCCATCTGTGGCCACCATTTTTTCAAGTTTTGACAAGCCATAGGTGCACGAGGGCCTGGTGCTCCAAAGACAGGGGAGTGGTTAGAGAAGAGGTTCCTCTTGTAGTGAAGGTGCTGTTGCAGAGCTGCCTGAGTGGAGTGGCGGATGGCTGCCTGGCCAGGAGATAGAGGACCGCCAGGGTAGTGCTGACCCAGCTGCTGACCATTAGCCATGCCGTAATGCCCCATGGAGGCAGTGTGATGGTAGTGCTCACCAGAGTCCGGTTCTTGCTTTATCCTGGCCAATGCTGGGTTGTCCTGGACCTGGACACCTCCATTCTGATTCAGCTGCTGTGGGACTGGAAGCTTGAAATTGCTAAACTTGCTGCTGGTGTCACCAAGCAGCTGTTTGAGCTCTGACATGGGGTCTGAGCTGCTGTGAGGCGCGGCAGCGTAGTGAGACTGGGGCTCAGATTTAACACACATCCACGAGTTCCTCTGTTCAGAGCCTCTACCTGCACCCTGCTGCCACTGCTGGGGATTAGGGCTGAAGCCTGGATGTTTTCCCTGACCTGGGAAAGGAGAGGTAGAGGACGGGAGAGGGGAAGCATGGGGTGGCTGGCCCTGGGAATGGGGCCTGTGGTGCTCGCAGGACCCTGGGGCCTGCTGGATGTTGTGTAGTCCTGGAGGGACGGATTGAGAGCGTGAGGAGGATGATTGGGGGCCGGGAGAGGACGGGATCACGCTAGTGCCATTGGGGGGTTGAGATTGGAGGTTGTGGGTATGTTGGTGGTGATGGAGGTTACTGTTGTAGGGAGAGCCGGCAGCTTGTGGACCAGTACCAGATAACTGCGTCAGAGCTTCTATTGCGATGGCTGTCTGAAGACTGACGTTCTTTTCCTTGGCTATGGAGAGCACCTGGGGAGAGCAGGGAATTGGTGGTTTGGGGCAGGGCATATGGACTGAGTGAGGGCCTTGAGATCCCTGCTGCTGGGGATAGGGAGAAGACAGACGGTGGCCACCATTCATCTGGGGGTAGGGCTGAGGGTGATGCTGCAAATGGGGATGCTGCAGATGAGGGTGTACGTGTGGGGGAGCATCCGCCGTCTTGCAGCCACCTTGATCCCCACTATTGGCCAACTTAATCTTCTTCTCCAGCCACTCAAGGTAGTCTGGACAGTCAGGCCCATCACAGTTGCAGTTGGGGGGCTTGTGTCCATGCTTAGCTTGGCTCAGTGCTGACTGGAGAGTGTTCAAGTCTTCTGGAGTTTGGCAGCTTCCCTCAGGTTTGGCCTGAACTCCATCAGCACCCACCTCTTTGGTGAACTTCTCATAGAGCTGGCCTGTGTTAGGCTGCACGGGGCAGGAGGAGGAGGAAGAAGGAGGCAGGGAGCCGGCTATAGCAGAGAAAGCCACCAGGTTGTGGGCGTCCTCCATGTTTGCGTGGTGGACAGGTTCACCAGGGGTGGGACCGCTGCTGCTGTTCCAACATTGTTGTTGGGTGTCACTGACCTTTCCATGTCCTGACACCCAGCACTGCCTAGGAGGCACACTCCCTGCCCTCTGCTGATCTGTTTCCATAGATGAGGCTTCATCATTGGGGAAGCGGTTCACCCCATTGGCCAGTTCCAGGCTCAGCGCGCCTTCCTGGAGGCGGTCATGTGACCCAATTTCCATCTGGCCTCCACTTCTGGGGCCATCCACTGAAGTGACTTTGCGAACAGTCTGCAATACAAAGAAGGGCTGAGGTTAGTGAGATCATAACAATCTAATGAATCCAGGAACACTCGTAAAACAGTACACATTGTACACTAGGCATGATTTAGGAAAATCACCCCATGAATTTGTATTTGTAATATCTGACTCCATTCCCTTTTCCTCTTTCAGCTCTCATCCAGGGTTTCCCTCCTACTTCATACAGAACATACGGCGCTGCAGGGTCATGTCAGGAAAGGAAAGCGGCATTAACTATTGCTCCAGTGGACTGTTTTCATAACAGGCAAGTGTTTTGTCGAGCAAGTCACAGGTCATGAGGCATAGTTTTACTGTTGTATATAAAAGGACATTGTGCTCCAGATCAGTTGGGCTATGCAAAGCAGGCAGTTGGTTCTAAAACATGTCACCCTCGGTGTGTGCGGCAGAGGGGAGAAAAATACCAAATATACAAAACACAAATTTACTTTGAGGTCCAAAATATTCTACTTACATTAAAAACTACAAAGTTCTTAGTACATTTAAAAAGGGTAAATGCACTTTGAAAGGGTGTGAAATGGTTTAAAAAGGGTGATTTTTTTATTTCAAGAAAACAATAAGTATAAGAAACGAATAAAGATATTTAAGAAATGTCCCATACAAAAATAAATGTACTGCACTTGATAACAACATGTGTTTGTAATGCAATGCTTTTATCTGTGATATATTGTTCATGATGGGCTCATTTAAGTCCCTGAAACTCAGGGACTCAACTCAGTGTCTGAAAGTGTGCAGTGCAACTTCCATTCGCTTGAGTGACTATATCCTCAACCCAAGACATTTTCTTCTAAAACAAGACCTTAAATGGCAAACACAGAATCAACCAAATATCTGAAGATTAGTATGTCATGCTAAGATAATCCTAAATACAAAACCAACAAAAGAAAACCCCCTCACTGCCCTGGTTGGTAAAACCACAGTCAAAGAGCTGGAGAGCTAAAAATACTCAAATTCTTTGTTGGCATTTTAACATTGAGGGTTTAACCGTTAAAAACAGTATTCATTGAAGATTGTGGCTCTGTACATGTAATGCTCTCAAACATGAGCATGTATTTAAAGAAACACACAAGATGAACTTACAACTTAATGCTACCAAGTTGTAGGGAGTAAAATTGCAGTTGGGCAGAATTGATGTTGTATATGTACGGGTTGGTGTATGCTGACAGAAAGGCCTGTCTAGTGTTAAAAGTCATGGACGTATACTGCATGTTTGCATGGCTAATGGAACATGTGACTACTATATAAAATACTTCTCCACATGGTTGAACTACCATCACGCTTCTGTTGAGAGACCGCCACATCATGAGAAATTGATGCAGTGAGAAAAGTGAAGGAAATACAAATTTTTCATCAAGTCAAAAGACCCCAACATTTGTGGGATCATTTAAGAGTGAAATGTGCTAAACAAACCAAGACACCCTATGGGATGTACCAACATTTAAGTGATGATGTAGACTACAAAAAAGGGCAAGATTTGGCTAAACTAATAGTACAAATAAAAGCTCCTTCCAAGTTTCTCAATGCCCAAGGTGATGTCTTCAAATGTCTTGTTATGTCAGTGAAACATAGAGTTAACGATTATTTTTGTTTCTATAGTCATCCTTTAATGTAATCAGTAAAATGTGTAATCTGGAATAAGTGTATGTTTTTTAAGTCAAAGAGCAGTTCTTTACTTCACTGTCATGTAAACACTTGTATACGGTTCCATCTTTGCCACTGCCATATAAAAGAGATTCTGATTCTCAAAGGGAATATACCCGTTAAAGAACAGGTCAATTAAAAAGGACGCTTTGATTTGTCTTTAACCACCTGCTACAGCCCACCATGCATTACTTAAAAATATATAAGTATTTCATAAACATGCTGGCTATGAGTCACACATTGGGGAAACATTGCTTCTTTAATCTTAGTATTCAACGTTGAAAGACTTTCTCGGATGTTTTGTTGCACGTATCAAGAGCTGATCACTGCAGCCACATTTCTCACTTCCTCTCTGAGTCAGAATTGGGTCAGTAACCACTAGTTTCTCCAAAAACAGCAAACACACCAATTGGACTTTTTTCAAAAGCACTCTGTTCTTTTGCTCAGCCTGAAGCACCATGATGGGGGGTGAGATTTCATCGAAAGGGCAAACAATAGGTGTAGGCAAATCATTTTACAATGTTTGATGAGATCTGAAATATCTTGATATGATATGATTTAAAGCCAACTATGGTGATCCATTGATGAATCTTTAAATACTACGTGCAAACAGCATTCAACCCAGGTTAACCCCTCATAGATTGTCCTCAAATAACTCAAGAGAGTACCAGCAAACAGAGATAAACCAAGGGTAGTCTGAGGGATCATTGACAGAGTTCATGTAGTGGCTGAACAGTATTTTCCAACGGCACATAATCAATGGCAGACTCACTCTATAAATAGCTTTTTGGTGTTAGCCCAAAAGCTGCGAAGATGATTTAATACAATGTGAAATATTAAATTAAACGCACATTTTCTGCTTTTTAAATGTGATTTCTTTGCTTCTCAATGTCCGTAAAATGAATAATTTTAAGGTGTGGACTAAACAAGAAAATGAAGGACTTTAGGGCTTTTGGAAACACTGATGCACATTTTGGAACATTTTACAGACATATTATCAAGCTTCATAAATGTGAACATTTTATGGTTTCTTCACTCCTCTAGGAAAGTAAGATGTATATATATATATATATGAGTTGTGGACTAAATGAGACATCTGGTAAACACCGATTGACATTTTATGGATAAATTGGATGATTGAGAAATAACAAACTGTATTATAACCATTTGAGGGTCACATTATTAAACCTATATGCATACTACGAACACAAATCATACCCTAAACATGCACCTTATGTATTCTTCACATTGTATAGCCTTCACTATAAAGGAGACTTCCATGCATCAAACCCTGCACTTTAAGAAGACACAACAAAAACAAAAACTTACACTTAAACACAAATCCATAGCAGGCTATCTGATTCCTCAACATAAATGTGAACTAGTTCCAGATCCAGAAGATGTAAAAAAACAAAGAACATGGCTCCTGTGTGTAGATCCATCAGTGTACGACAGCAGAAGTGAGCCTGACGTGTAGCTTCCTCATCATTTGAATATTATTAAAATGAGCCTTTTCAAGTGGCTAATTACTGGACAGGCAGTATGCTCAGGCCTTTTGAATCCACCTTCTGCGCCCGGGTGTCTGTTGGGGGTCCATGGGGGGGGTCGGGGGTATTGGAAAGAGGTGTGAGGGGAGGGGGTTGTCAGGGATAGCAGTGAACAGCCGGCATGCAATACGTGAGAGGCCCCATGTCTGCACTATCAGTGGCATCACACGGGAAAGAGGAAGAAGAAGAGGGGGGGGGGGGGGGGGGGGGGCTGTGCATGCACGGCAGTTATGGGAACTGCAGTGTGTTGAAACACAGTGACTGCAACACTGCACAACCCACAATCAAGCACACTGACGCTCTCTTTTCCCCTTTTACACACAGTTACATACACAGAACCCCCGCCACAGACACACAGTCACGTGGGTTTAAAGCACCGCGGGCTGCACTCAAATGGACTTTACTCCGATAATAAATACTGCACGACAACACTTCTCTGAGTCCTCACATGATCGCAGCCTTGATTAACCTTGAGGTTGCCAACCTGGGAATGAACGCTGCACTTGACACCTGCAGCACATTACACCTATGCGGGTATCTTTGGACTGGACAGACCACGTGCTTTGACAAATATTTACACCGTGACAGAGCCTGCCAAGAGTTTATCTGTCTTCTCTCGCAGTGTGTCACTCACACACACACAATAGTACATGCCTGACACACACTTTAAAGTGTCTCTGAAGACATCAACACAGCTAACCAGATCAGATATGGCAGTCTGATTTCACAAGACAAGCTGTTACAGCTCTGCAAGGGCTATTTAACTCTGACAGTACGAAAAACAACAACTAGATGGAGGAAACAAAGCCACTAAATACACTAATGGCGGTGGTGGTGATGAGGAGGTTAAGTGCAGCTCGTGAGTAGACAGCTGAACCTAAATCCCAGATACACAACAGCCCCCCCTCAATCCTCCCTCTTGTCCTCCTCCTTTCCCCCCACCCCTTCCTTTGCTGCCGTGCCGAGCAGGAACATGAAGCAGAGACAATATGAAGCCGGCTGAGAGCCCGAGCAGCGGCGCCGCATACTTACGTGGTCTTAGACGTCCAGAGGGGGAAAGCAGACGTTAAGAGGAGCATGAGAGGTTCTTGCCGGCACAGCAGCCCACGATCAATCCGACCCCGATGGGTTGTATTCCTTTTTTATTTCTTGCAGTCTGCACAGGCAGAGCGAGCGCCGAAATACACATGCATGCATTCACACACAGCAAGCCTCTCACACACACACACCTCCCCCAAACACAGCTACACACACATTTCTCATTTCTCTCGTGCCTCTTCTTATGGCCGACGCTTTCTGTTCTCTCCTTTTTCCTTTCTCATTATCTCTTGTCTGCTCCTCCCTTCCCTTTTTCAATATCCTCTTTCTTTCTCTCGGTTACACATGCAGTCGGCTTCTCTTCGCAGCCCCCACCTTCCCCCTCTCTCTCTCTCTCTCTCTCTCTCTCCATTCCCCTCCCTCTCGCGCAGCCTCTCCCTCCATCTCCTCTCTCTCTCTCTCTCTCCAGTGTGTGCAGAGCGAGAGGCCATTATCTGAGCCGCAGTGGGCACGTACGATGCAATGGGGGAGTGTGCAGTGAGCAGAAACAGAGAGAGCTGTGGGGGAGAGTCGCCAGTAGCGGCAGCCTAGGAAACAGCACAGTGCAGCAGAGAAAACCAATGAGAAAACCTCTGTGTGTGTGTGTGTGTGTGTGTGTGTGTGTGTGTGTGTGTGTGTGTGTGTGTGTGTGTGTGTGTGTGTGTGTGTGTGTGTGTGTGTGTGTGTGTGTGTGTGTGTGTGTGTGTG